AACAATGGGCTCAGAGCTTCAAAAGAGCTTTCTTTGTTTTTGTAGGTATCTTTGATCATTAGAGTAAGAATGCTTTGATCTTTTGTTTAAATCACTGCTATGTCACCTACTAGAGGTAATGTTTTGATAGGTTAAACACTTTTGGTACTAGTGCATATAAGCTTGCTAATATGGATAAATTTTTTCATTCCTGATGATGACATAATTAATGTCGAAATATTGAATCCCAACACGATGGCGTGTATTTCAATACTCGGAGTATGTACTATACTTTCTTATCTGAGATTAATCAGTGGACCTTTCGGTTTTTGCAAGTTCAATTACACCATTTCGTTATCGGTTAATCGTCATCGCTGTCTTTTTAATCATCACCGTCATCTGCCATTTTATTAGGTTGTAATTAATAGTAAAGTCTCTTAACTCAAATCACAACTCACAAAAGCTATCAGGAACCACCCAAACTTTGCAGTCCATATTTGGATTCAAGATAGGAGGATAAGCAAAAGTAAAGCTTCACGAGTCTAATACTAGTAATCAAGTACCATAAAATTATCATCGTCGTTATTGTTGAACATCATTTTTATCAGCAACAACATTCTCGTTATCATCATGAATTATTCATCGTATTCGTTCAATATTCCTTTCATGTTGATATGAAAGGGTCTACATAGTATATATCGCTAACACCATCATCACCACAATCATTATCATCACCACCATCAACATCATCGTCACTGCTAATTTTGTTTTCAATTCAAGTCGATAAATTATCCATTCGCAGAGGAACCACCAGACAATCATAGCATATATCCACAAGCATCATTATCAAAATCACCAGGTTTCTTTCTGAAATAAAACAATATTAAATGTTATAAATATGTATTGAATGGGCATCCTAAGGAGTAGTCAAACACATGGAATATACTTATTTATTTTGCACACACGCATGCAGGTGATAATTCATAAAGGTACAAACAAGATACCCAGGAAAAAATCATGAGAATGATAAAGAAATCAAAACCGGTAATACAAAGACTATGAAAATGGGCAAAAATAAAATTAGAAAATTAACAGAATTTCTTTAAAAGCCCTAAGCTTTTTCTATACTATCATATTGGCATAATGTGGGTATGATGACGTCACATATTATCAAATTGTTTAAAAAAAGTTGAACGTCACATTTTATGTGACGCTTTTCGATGAAATATAATGGTGTAGACAATGCTTAACAATAAACTATGTCCAAGCTATCAAGTTTGCGGAAAAGTATACGCGTGATTTGTCCATACACAGGTATCTGTTGCATTGATAACTGAGCTTTCAAACAAAATTAATATTTCTAAAATGGAAAGGCGGATCTAATAAACCAAGTGGTTGGAACTATACAGATAATTCAGTAAATAATTCGCAAAATTATCACAGCAATAGACATCACTATACACTTTGTTCTATTAACAATGCGAAAGCATTGTTTATTACACAATAGGATGCAGCCTGGAGGCATGTCTAGGGTATTCAAATGGCTGGGGGAAGGGGGAACCGAAGATGATGTGGAAGGACTCGATGATAAAGTATGTGGCGATAGCTGCTGGTTAACTATTTTAGGGTAATTTTTGATACAACGCTGTTGCAGCCCCATCATGTCATTTGGAACAGAATGCATATCAAACGGGCAATTTAAAAATAACCACTGAAACTCACCTTAGCATCATTAATTTTCGTTATTAATATCATAGCCGTCCATTACCATACCATCATTATTAACCATCAACGTCCACATATTTCCTTGTTTTTAAATCGATCACAAAACATTCCAGTCAGGTTGGAGGACAGTCCACAAGCATTTAATGCCTTTTACTACGTAAATAATTAATAACTCATATTAACATGAATCATGTTTTATAGCAAATAAATTAAATTCAATATGTTAAACACACTTAGCGAAAAAGGATGTTCAGCCCGCCTGCAACACTCCCTGGACATCTAAAGATCGTATCAAGTTTCTAAATTGAAATTTAGATTAATATGGCCCTGGACCCACAGAATTGGTAAGGGAACATTCTCCTCTGACAATAGGTTTCAATACGATACGATACGATAAAACACAGCTATGAGATATGGTTCCTTAAATACACCCATATTACTAGAAAAATATAGAAAATATAATTAAAAAACACATGTTGCACAAAGAGAAATTGCTTAAATTTAAAAAATACAAGATGCTAAAAGTTTAAAACTAATATTGCAGGGATTACCGAGTTGTGATGAAAATGGTCTTCATTCGCCACTCCTGCTTCCACACCGGCCAAAATATCCTGGATCCGCTAATGTAAACATGAGTTTCAGCTAAATAGCAGTCACAGCAAGTAAGCTAACCATCCATGTATTACTATAGGTTAATTTCTCATTATTTTACAAGCCCCAATGCATTGAAACTTACCTAATGTTTAAGCACAGGTCTACCATTTCATCATCATCTCTGTTATCCCTGTATCATCTATATCGCCATTATTACATCATCATCGTTATCCTCATTATCGTTATCATCGTCCCCATGAGCACTTATGTCTATCAGTTCTCCATCAGAAGAGGCACTACTCCAAGCAGCAAATTGATTTGATTTATTCGGAAATTCACATGCATTATCAAAATGAAAACACAATAGATATGGCCCGAGTTTCACATCACGTCATTTCACAACCCCACAAAGTCGCCTTTGAAACTTTCAGACATTCAAACATTATCTCACAACTTACCTTTGCAACTTTTAATACACTATTTCATTATCGTTAATCGTCATCACTGTCATTCATCAGACATTCAAACTAATATTATCTCACAACTTACCTTTGCAAGTTTTAATACACTATTTCGTTATCGTTAATCGTCATCACTGTCATTCATCACCATCATTTGTCATAGTATATTGTAATAACAAAGTCAGCTTAAATCGCAACTCACAGAAACTCAAATGAACTAACTACAACTTTAAAATCTGTATTAATCATCACTATTAAATATTCATTGCTACCGTCATCATCACAATCATCATTAGTTTTTTTTTCATTCCACGTCGACAATTAGTCATCGGCAGAAGTACCACTATCCAATCAGTATATTAGCATATTTCCTCAAGCATCATTATCAAAATCACCAGATTTTTTTTCCTGAAATGAAATGAACTTCAAAGTTATAATATAAGTATTGAAGTATATATTTAATTATTCCGCACACATGCATAGGCGACAAATGTATTCGTCGCCTTGCTACTGTCTGTGGACAACAAAATTGATATTTCTGAAATAAAAGACATGCTATTAGTTATTATCTTGGATTTACATACACTGAAATTTAACAATAGTAAATGAATTTCATTTACTATTGTTTTACATTTACAAAATTACAATTCATAACAGACTCCGACAAAAACACTTCTGAAGATGTTAAATAAACGAGTCATAAACGCATGTTCTAATGTACCGGTACCAATTTATTGAAACAAATTCATAGGGATACAATATTTGGTATAGGGGCTTACAATCATGATGTGATTAAAAAATAGACAGACAAAAAGAGACAAAGACGCATTTGTTTGTAAAGATTTATTGCAACAATTTCATAGGTATACAATTGAAGACTCATTGAGGCAGCACCTGCTACCAGTATCAAATACTGATCTAACCCACTATAGGCACGAATAAAAAAATAAATAAAAATACTACGATTTTATATAAAGTGCTTTACAGGATGGGCATTGGCTACGATATTAGTACAATTGTTTTTTTCTACACAAACAATCCTATAGTGATTAGTTGACTTACTTGGTTTGATGCTTGGATGTTCGAGGCGATGTCTTGCTGCGTTAGTAACTAACCTGTGGTCCCGTCACATTTGCATATAATCAACATAATTAAACAACTGTTTTATATCGGCCTAAGTGTTAGTTCAATTTTTTCATAATACATACATTCATAAGTCTAGTTGAGGCTGTTTAATATGACAAATTGATGTTGTCAAAATTTTGCTGGATATATTATGATCTAATGTGGTCAGATTATCAGCATCTAGTGACAGTGGCCTCATGGAGATTTGAATGCCTGAGGTTTAGCCATGGAATCCATGGTTCATGGTTGATGATAGGCCTAATATAGGCCTATCATCGCAAATCTGTATGGTACGATAATCATTAAACCTTGTTTCCAATATGTAATCTAGTTTCCTATAAAGTATTAACATTGCATAGTATCAACAAGATCTCCACCAAAATTATTATTAGCTTGTTGCTCTGAAAAAGTAGAGCCTAATGTCTACATCTGTGTGTTAGTAGAAATGGATGCAACATCACATTTTAACCAAAAAGTTATTACTGTATATAGATCTCTTCTTGGTTTCAATACATGTTAGTTCTTACTATGGTTGATGCTTGGATGCTCAAAGACGCGATGGCGTTCATCAAATCAGCCCGTCAAGGAGGATAAAATGGAAGACGCGATGGCGTTCATCAAATCAGCCCGTCAAGGAGGATAAAATGGAAGACGCGATGGCGTTCATCAAATCAGGTTTAATATGACAAATTGATGTTGTCAAAATTTTGCTGGATATATTATGATCTAATGTGGTCAGATTATCAGCATCTAGTGACAGTGGCCTCATGGAGATTTGAATGCCTGAGGTTTAGCCATGGAATCCATGGTTCATGGTTGATGATAGGCCTAATATAGGCCTATCATCGCAAATCTGTATGGTACGATAATCATTAAACCTTGTTTCCAATATGCAATCTAGTTTCCTATAAAGTATTAACATTGCATAGTATCAACAAGATCTCCACCATAATTATTATTAGCTTCGTTGCCCTGAAAAAGTAAAGCCTAATGTCTACATCTGTGTGTTGGTAGATGGATGCAACATCACATCTTAACCAAAAAGGTATTACTGTATATAGGTCTCTTCTTGGTTTCAATACATGTTAGTTCTTACTATGGTTGATGCTTGGATGCTCGAAGACGCGATGGCGTTCATCAAATCAGCCCGTCAAGGAGGATAAAATGGAAGACGCGATGGCGTTCATCAAATCAGCCCGTCAAGGAGGATAAAAAAGGTGCAAACGTGAAAGGCTCCAGTTGCCAAATATATAATTTCATTAGTTTCATATTCGAAATTTGAATAGTGGCGTCTACGAAATTTACGTGATTCATAACGTAATAACAATAATAATAATAATAAAATATACAACCTATAATAACGATTAAAAAAGCTAACATTACGACAGTATAATTAAATATTTTAAATAAAATAACAGTAATAAAATAAAACCTACGAAATAATTATGTGCTGATTATGTGCATGTTAATAGAATAAGGTAGATGCAAGTTGTTGTATTCGACTAAAATGAAATTAAATGCAATGAAATGAAATAAAATAAAATATGGGACGATTAAATATAGATGCCAAAAGTCAAATAACGTTTAATCAATTCCAAAAAAAGGCCTAACAATTCTTTGCAGTGTTGGCGCAGAAACTAACTGTATGGCGCCAACAATTTTTGTTTTGTATCTATGGACGTCAGTATTATGACATCCACTTGTAAGACCTGCAATACAACACGAGCAACATTGTCATTAGTGCACTTATGAGTAACTTTGAAAAAATGATAATAAGGTGGTACAGGTGGTAGTGAAGTAATGTATTATATAAGCATACCTTTTCCCAATCCCATTAGATCTATCGAAAATATGTAAGCTAAATACAGTCACTTAGATCTATTTGAATCACAATGATAACGTCGAAGATGCAAAACCATTAAGTATTAAGTCACGACATGCTAGTAGAACCCGTATGTGTCTCGTTTCAGAAAATGCTATGATAGCAAAGTAAATCTGTGTCTCGTTTCAGAAAATGCTATGATATAGCAAATTAAATCTGTGTCTCGTTTCAGAAAATGCTATGATATAGCAAAGTAAATCCTTAAACGTGTCGCTATAATGCTTTAATTCAGCCATTTTTTAAAGCTAGGCCTGACATTATTAATTAAATAACTTCTAATAGTAGGCCTACATTATATATTTATTAACAATAACCTACAGGCCTATTAAATGTTAAATGTTTACTATGGTACTCACCAGCTGTGTCTTTCTCTGTTTACACCCTTCTCCGCTGCTCACACTAGGAGAATAATAAAACGGACCGAGAGGTAACGGAACTCTCTTGTTTAACCGGTATATTCAAAATAGGAGGCTTAACTCTGATTGGGTGTTATTGTATGCATGGTTGGATTAAAACAATAACATCCAATTAAAATTAGAAATTTGTGGACAAATGATGTAACTGATAACAAAAGCCACTGCCTAATCTAAAGCACCTGTTTGGTACTACTCCAGTAGTCATTAATTTGCGAATTCTTTCTTGCCGATACTTTTAAGCTGATTGATACCGTTTTAGTGTAGTATATGCGAACTTAATTTGTTTATGTAAATGAGTATATTAATCCTAGGTATTTTTTTTATATTAATGTAAAGACGGAAAATATGAAATAAATATGATAGGCAATTGATGTAAACGATAGTACAGATCCGGATGGGCCTGCCCACAGGGCAAGAGCCATGATTTTGGTTGCTTCTAGCAACCAGCAGCAGTCTGTCTAGCAGTTGCGGCGTAAGCCCCCATCGAACAAGTCAATGACCCCCTGGCCGAGCTCGTCGGGCATTCGGATGAAGATATGAAATAAATATGATAGGCAATTGATGTAACAATAATTACAGATCCGGATGGGCCTGCCCACAGGGCATGATCCATGATTTTGGTTGCTTCTAGCAATCCGCAGCAGTCTGTCTAGCAGTTGCAGCGCAAGCCCCCACCCCTATCGGACAAGTCAAGCCCCCACCCCCAGCCGAGCTCGTCGGGCAGTCGGACCAAAAAAATAAATAAATAAATATAGGCCTACACCAAGCCAAACCAAGCCTATATGTCTTTCACACTGAGTAAGTGCCATTTCCGGCCATCCAGAGCTCCATTTTTAGAAGAATCTCATCTCTTAAATCCTCCCCCTCCTCAGGCATACAAGCTTAACCCCCTGTCGGACAGCTTGGGGCTAAGATGTCCGACTGGGGGGGGGGGCTAAATATTTATGGGTGTAACTATAGTGCGCAGCATTATCTGAGGGCCGAATGCCCGAGCCGGGGGTGGGTATGGGAGTGGGAATCCCCTCCTCCCAAAACAAGATTTAAAAAAAAAAATTGGGACTTTCAGATGGCCGGAAATGGCTGGGATAGGAAAACTAGGCCCATTTTTTTTTTTTTGGTCCGACTGCCCGACGAGCTTTGGCCGATGGGGTGGGGAACTTGACCAAACCGATGGGGGGAGGGGGTGGGCTCCCTCCCCCCGCTCCTATGTATTATTTCATTCTGTGTAGACCCCATAATGTTCCAGGGATCCTAATTTTGGAAAAGAAAGTTACACAGGGACAACTTATTTTTTCTTACATTGGTTGTACCATAGAGTTGCTGTTTTTTTGCTATACTGTGTGATTACAGACAGGGCTCACTCTGTGTCGAGGACGAACTATAACTGAAACACGAACTATAGCTGAAACATGACGTTAACATAAGAAGCCACGCCCCCTCGGTTGAACCCGTAGTATTTAGCAACTACCGTGTATGAGCTAAGTTTTTGGACCAAATTTTTAAATCCCTGTGCAACATTAACTCTACAGCTGACGTCGTTATCAATTGGGCAAGCGATCGCCAGCGTTGGAACATGGTTGGAAGCTCTTGACCGCCGAAGCCAGCATCACGTATGGCACTTGAATGGTGTTTATATCGATTGACCTTCCGGTTCACTTTCTTCATCGTCATATACACTACTTAAATGATGAACATAAACCTGGGCCCTATCTATATTTACTTGCAAATAGGCCTATAGTTATGATTAAGATATTTGCTTACGGCAACACGTAGAAAGGATTGTTGGTCCAAGATGGGATTCGATTTTCTGTAACTCTATTTACGTATAGATTAAATAATGAACTTAAAACTATCTTATATTTACAGTAACTGTTCTATATATCTCTAGGCGTAAATCAGTATAAATGTATACCAATATATATATATATATATATCAATATATAGCCTAATTGGCAAAGCGAACATAATATACAAATTACTGGTTCAATATACAAGCAATATTCATTACAAACACGAGGTTGTTGATAACAAAATCCACGACAACGAACCAATATCTACATGCTTTGTCCAATTATATTGTACCTGTTTCTTAAAAAACGAACACTGTGATACAACAAAAATACGGGTTCGATATCTATTGATCTACCAATCTTACTTGACTAAATGGATGAAAATCAATAATAAGCTAGATCCTGGGGGAAAAAAACATTAATTTCAATAATCCTTCACTATTTTAAGAATAAACTTTCAAGAATAAATATTTACTCTAGAAAAAATCCAATTGAAGTGATTGTCGATCGCTTTATTTAGAGTGAAATTCACTCTTTAAATTAAAATGCAAAATACTGGATAAAAACAATGTTGTGGAAAGAATTGATTGATCACGGCTGAGATAAACGTAAGTTCCCATGGTTCGATTAGTAGAACCAAGTCTTAAGTCAGTATAAATGTATAGATCAATATATAGCCTAATTGGCAAAGCGAACATAATATACAAATTACTGGTTCAATATACAAGCAATATTCATTACAAACACGAGGTTGTTGATAACAAAATCCACGATAACGAACCAATATCTACATGCTTTGTCCAATTATATTGTACTTGTTTCTTAAAAAAACGAAAACTGTGATACAACAAAGATACGGGTTCGATATCTATTGATCTACCAATCTTACTTGACTAAATGGATGAAAATCAATAATAAGCTAGATCATGGGATAAAAAAAGACATTAATTTCAATTATTCTTCACTATTTTAAGAATAAACTTTCAAGAATAAATATTTACTCTAGAAAAAATCCAATTGAAGTGATTGTCGATCGCTTTATTTAGAGTGAAATTCACTCTTTAAATTAAAATGCAAAATACTGGAAAAAAACAATGTTGTGGAAAGAATTGATTGATCACGGCTGAGATAAACGTAAGTTCCCAGGGTTCGATTAGTAGAACCAAGTCTCTTTTTTTGGAAGGTGGGGGGAAGGTGGGGGGGGGGGGGGGTTATGACGAGACAAGTTTTACTTCTAGTCATGATCCCAATGAGATTGGTTTATTATTCGTATTGTATTGTATACCATTATTATTTCCATCATTGAATAAATGTCATGAATTTGAATTTGATTTTGAATTTCTCGGATACGGACTTAAAGTACACATCAAGCTCGTGTGCACTTTAAAGGATCCGTTGCATCTTTCGGAAGAGTAGGAGATTACCCCGATGCAATGATTCATTTCAGCCTCTGTTTTGTTATAGTTTTCATATATAATTTTCAGAATAATAATATTTTGATGTCAAAATTTATCTGAGCCGTCGTCTACATAAGTTGTACTCGCAAAATTACCAAAAAAAAAAAATAAATAAATAAATAATACAATAATAAAAAATACCCAACAAAACAACAATCTGATAAATGATCTTAGCGAAAGTGTAATACGGTATTTGTCTCCAACTCCCGCAATACATAGGATGTTAAAAAAACTTTTAAATATTTAAGAGTTATATTTTAAGGGCGAATTTTTACTCAGAAAATGTGAAAATGTTGTATATTGTTTAGGCTGTATTTCAAAGTTAATACACGTTGATTGAAGAATATGCTTTCGACACTGGCTGTTCCAGTAACAATAATAGTAATTAAATCACATATTCATAAAAACGGGATAACTATAAACATATACTGTTTAAATACCTTTAACAATGAATGTTTGAAAACAACATGTTTAATTAAGGAATTCTTGTAATTTCTTATAATCATAAAATCGGTATAATTATAAACATATAAATACCTTTAACAATAGATGTTTGAAAACAGCATGTTTAATTAAGGAATTCTTGCCATTTCTTATAATCATAAAATCGGTATAACCATATAAACATATACTGTTTAAATACCTTTAACGATGGGTGTTTGAAAACAGAATGTTTAATTAAGGATTTCATTGTAATTTTTAAATTTTATACATGCTATTAGTAAACATCCAGTACTCGACCATGAGAAGCAAGACATTTTTCTTCAAAGGCTTAAATTACGTTTATTCTCATCCGGATTCTGATTTACACCTCAAACGACTATCGGTTGATTAAAATTAAACAGAATGACAAAATCCAATCCAAATGAAAAACATGACCAAACAAACGAATTTTAGCAAGAGTGAAGAAATGAATTGACACAAGAGGCAAATTAGGTAGCATTATACATATTTTTAGTTTATTCTTCTTGAAATAATTCTGTTAGCGTACTTGGTCTGAACTGAAAAGAAACCTTTCCATCAAGTGGGGGTGGTGGGGGTATATTCAGAATCCGTGGAGCAGCTGGAGCGCAGACGGCTACTAAGTTCTGGAACTACGATAATAAACCTGAGGGCGTTTGTTTACTAAACAGAGCAGAACAGGAGGAGCCTAGCCTAGGCCTAGGCGCTAGCCCTAGCTTCATCAGATTTTATCGGTATCAAAATCATAGTACGAAACATTAAGAAAGTTTTCCGATACTAGATGACTCAAGCAGTGACTTCTAATGATGGACATGTACAATCTCCATCGAAGAAAGCAACGTTTGGGCTGTTTGTAGCAGGTGCGTGCGGAGTTGTTGTTGGTGGATTGTACGCCGTCGCGACCCCGTTCGTGCTGCCTGCTTTTCGCCGTGTATGTTTACCTTACGTACCTGCTACATCAAGACAAGTTCAAAATGTATTCAAAATTCTTGCTGGAAGAACGGGTACACTGGTTGACCTTGGAAGTGGAGATGGAAGAATTGTGAGGAATATTTTTGTTTTGTTCATAATTATCAGGCCCGTGTAGGTAGGATTTTTGAGCGGGAGGTGCGTTTTGCAACCGAACCGAAGTGGACCTTACGATAGGCGACTGTTGTTGTTAGGGATCCCCGCGAGGGTGGGGCGAATCTTCTGGAAGCTCTGACAAATTAGCATTTTGAAGGCCTTTTTTAATGGATTTCTAAAATCCATAATTTGTAATATCCTATTATAAATTTTCATTCATTTTGAGTACAGTATTGTCTAGGGACATACAGTAAAGCAGGAGAAATAGAGGGTGGGGGTGAAGGGAGGAACTTGCACAGACAGATGGAAAATTTATGATTATGGCACCTCAAAATGGCCGGAAATGGCACTCTCAGACAAACTTTAATTATGATTTTTCTTTTTTCTTCCCCCTTGATCCACCACTGTGAAATTGTAATTTTTCATGTCCTGTACATCTGCAGGCCTATAGATAACATTCTTCATATTATATAGATCAATCTGCAATCACCGGAGACGATCAATTTTTGACAAATTTCATACCACATTTAAAAAATCAACGGATAGATAAGCTGGCAAATTTATAATACAATGCATGCTATAGCATTTTATGATAATTAGGAACGATTTTGTAAAATCATAGGTTTTAAAAAGTGGACCTTTTGGAGTATGGGGGGGATCTGCACCCTCTGCCCCCCCCCCCCCCCCGCCTACGGGCGTAATTATGGTAATAAATCATATTGATCAATATCGCTTTTATAGCAGACTAGGCCTAGGCGAGGCCTACATTACATACAATACAATAAGACATAATTTTTAAAACCAGGCTTTACCCAGGTTTTTGTATTTGCTTGTACTGTACAGTACTTCTATCAGTATTCATTGTTAATTCCAGACGCCTAAATGTGAAGCCAATAATGAATTTGTGTATGTAGGCCCTCTACTAGGGTCATCCATTATTTTCATCATTTTCACGAGCGTACAAAACGTACACTGGGGGGAGGGGTTGAAGGCGTGTGTACGCTTTAAATAAGTACAAAAATGACGATTTGGAAATTTTAACCTATGTTTTTGTGCCTAGCCTAGAAAGCCAAAGTTTACTGTTATAAATTCACTGGTAAATGTTCAGTTTATCAATTGTTTATACACAGCGTCATCTTACATCCCTGATTAACTACGTGTTCATTTAAAGTTTACCTAGTTCTGCACTCCAGTACAATAATAATTCAAAGCCTAGGTGTGGACGCTAGTAAATCTAAGTGAATTGAAGGTGCTTTAGTTATTTAATGGTAAAATAAATGCCTATGATAGAAAGGCAAGGCATTCCACCAGAGGCCTGTTAAGTATTGCTGTACAGTATATGGATTGTGTGATTCTGAGTGGATTTCCGTTACCTTATGATACATTAATATAATTCTTGGGATTGTCCACATTTCATAGGCCTATAATTAATGTTTGACAGGTAAATGTTAACATAGATAAGACTATAGCTATAAATTGATAAGCTATGATTCTAATAAGTATAAGATCTCATTTATTGCAAACTTGGTCAAGTCTGTAGATGAGTAGGGGGTGATTTATGTGATGCTGAAATGTGATGAGAGAAACATTTAATATAAATTAGTTAAAACACAATTTTTAAAAATGCATGTCAAAAGCTAGTAAAGGCATTGGTGGCCACATTTCTTTATTTCATTTTCTTTTAAAAATTTATTACAGCTGTGAAGACTGTTAACCCATTTTTAATGGCTCTTTAAGCATGTTAGCCCTCCAGCTGAGACACATGGCGTGCAATGGGTGGAAATGAACCAGTGTTTATTACACTTACACTCTCGGTTAATCAGTTTTTATTGACATAATGACTTTTTTTACTCATTTTAAAGCCAATAAATTAAATAACCTGTTACATTTTGTTTTTTTAGGACAATAAATTTCAGCATTTAGGTCAAATTTGCTACAATATCTTAGGGACCATCCATAATCATCATTTTCCCAAGATTGCGAAAACATACTTTATGGAGGAGGGAGGTTGACAGTGTAGGCATATTGTGTACTTTTTAGTATGTTAAAATGATGACCTCAAAATGGCACAACTCATCAATCATTCTACTGTATACTTTTTCTGAGAATGACTTACTTTCTTTCGTTTAATAGGTAATTGATGCTGCAAAACATGGCTACAAATCTACAGGATATGAGCTAAACCCGTGGCTCGTCTGGTATTCCAAGCTAAGTGCCGCCAGGAATGGAGTATCCAAAAATGCCCATTTTTACCGCACAGATTTATGGAAAACTGATTTATCAAATTCGCAAAATGTCGTCATATTTGGAGTATCATCTATGGTGAGTTGTTAAAATTTTGATATACTATTTTCCCCCCCGAATAAATGCACACCCCATAGTGCTTATTGCTGAGAAGGGTTTGTTTGCGGGAGGCATTTATTTGAGGAGCCGTGTATTTCTTTGGTGTGAAATGGATACCTTAATACTCTATTTATAAGACGCCCCTTAATTTCACTGTAAAATATGAAACTGCAAGTCAAAATGTGTTATTGCGTGATTATAAAGACCCAACCAGGTGAGAAAAAATGTAATTCTACCAGAGTACTGTAGAACATTAATATAATGTAATATTGTTTGAGTAATAGAATGTGTTGAGAATGATTTTGCTTCATTTAATTTTGCTTACAGTCATTTAGAGGGGCATTTATTCAAAAGAGGTGCTTATTTTAAAGTAGGCTACGGAGGGGGTGCTTATTCGAGAAGGGGTATTTTATTAAAAGTGGGGTGTTTATTCAAATAAATACGTTACTTTTATTATTATTATGTTGATTTTTGTGGTTTTCTTTGTTGTTGCATTTAGTATGAATATCCAGACACAAAATAATTTTTGTAACAATGATAATTGTAGCTATAGGAAATGTTTATGTGTTAAAAAAAGTTTGTGAAAATGAAGTATCATGGATACTTGTGTTCATCTCAATCTAAATTATTATTTTTTTAGATGCAACAATTGGAACAGAAACTAGTGAATGAGCTTCAGCCTGGTGCTGCGGTAGTCGCGTGTCGTTTTCCTTTCACAAGCTGGTCACCGTCACACACCATCGATGAAGGGATAGATTCTGTATGGCTGTATGACATAACAAAAGTACTTGAAGAAAATAATAAGGACAATGTAGACACATTTAAAGCAGGGAGCTGATGAATATTCATGTTTGAGAATAGAACCTAATAAATATTCATGAGATATGTATTGAAACTGCTTAGTGGGTATTTTTAATTGTTTACAGACCTTTTTCTACAACAACACTCCATAAATTGATTGCTAGCCACTTTTATTTAAAATTTAATCATTGTACCAAATTTAGAAATTGAAATTAGAAATTGCAGCTGAGCCTCTGGGTTTGGGACCCATATCGGCCATGATAATATGGCGGCAGTACCAATATGTCTCCTGTCTTGCCTAACTCTAATGCAAGGATTATTCAATCAAAATTCAATTTAGTTCAACTGAAGTTCGACGTTAGCCAGATTTGAACTGTGGCCTTCAGCACCAGAAGTGGGATCACTGCTGTACCTCTCAGTAAAATGCTCAGCTCGCAAAAGATTATATTAGAACTATTATTTGTACAACTGTTAATTGATATAGATAATATTATGCTAATTTAAAAAAAAAGCTAATAGTTTAGGCAACTTGAGCTTCCTAGGAGTGGAGTTGAATGGCTTAGTGGTTAAGATGCTTGCCTTCTAATTGCAGTGTCCTGGGTTCAGTTCCTGTGACAGAAGGCTTTTTCTCTCGATTAAAAAAAACCAGGAAACAGTAAAAAAAAAATACGCTAGAAGTTTATCACAATTTCAAATGTGATTCCTCCCCCTTCCCACATTTTTTTTTTTAAATGGACATTACCATACTAATGTATTTCGCTGAAAACTTAATACAAACTGCCCTCTAATTCAAGACCCCTCTAATTCGAGACCACTTTTTCAAAATACCAACTGACCACCTTTCTTTTAACACTGAGCTTACACTCTAATTATGAGGCCCCTCTAATTCAAGACTGAGACCACCTTTTAATATTGAAGTACAAAGTGACAAAATGACCTCCAATTCAAGACCATATTTAAAAATGAAATCAAACAGATTCAGGTTTTTTTTTTTTTAACAATAATGCTCTTAAGTTTGAAAAATTGAACTTCAAAATTATTACACATGTATTTTCATAAATTTTTCCATCTAAATAAAGGTTTCTTAAGGGTATTATCCTTGAATAATCTAGTTTTTAAAAAGAATTTTTAGTTTTAGGCCACTGGCTATCATAACATATTCAGTAAATGTTTTACAACAATCTGTTAGCACCTATTACCAAAAAGTGCTGTTGAATCAGCTGCTTAGCCCTAATTCGATACAGTCCTACATCTCTGATTTTCTTCTTCAGCCATTTAATTGTTGCACTATTCCTCGGCCCTGTAGCCAATGGAGGGGGAGTGGAAAATTCTCCTGCTATATGTTCCCCTCCCTCCACCCCGCTAAAGTCAAAGATATGTAAATACAGTAATTAAAACTAAAAGCAAAAAATATTTTTATAGTAACAAAAGCAGTTATTGGGGGAAAATATTGGGAAATCTGGTCAAGATGGAACACCTGACATAATAGTATCATCCAAATATTTGTAAGGAGAGTGTCATCTGAGTGTTTCTCTGTAGTTATTCACTTTCATGTGAAAAGAAGTGGATATCCAACCCCGTAGCCAAAAGGGGAGGGGATAGGGCAATTAAAATTCAGCTAAAAACAATGCCGGAACTGAGGTGGGTGTGGCTCTTCTTGTACTTAGCAGAGGATGAGGTGAAGCTGTCTCTTATACACATCAAAGAGTGAAGCTACGGGGCTTTCTATCCCCCACTTTATGATAGCCATGATGAACTTTCAAACTCATTGGAGAATTGCATATTGAAGATTGGGAACATAAGGAAAGGCCGTGCACAAAAACAACATCTTTCTTTATGTAAAGGATGGACACCTACATACCTAATAAACCTAGCTTTATAGTCAAATAAAGTTTACTTTACAGTAATATTACAAAATTACAAAATATAATTTCTATTATTTTATATTTTTATCGAATCCTAATAGGCAATATTATCTAATTTTTTTTTATGTAGCCTCCGTATTTTTCGCACAACAAAACAAAAGATAACCAGTATCCCGATCCTGTGTAAGCCTACTCTATTATTGTTATGTACAGTTATAGCAATTAAAATTCTCATCTTTATATGGGCAAGAGATTGTAGTTCTTCTATAATTATAGGAACTCTATATTCTATCAATGAAGAGCGCCCTCGGGAGTTGCCGCTACGTTGGATTTAAAACGCGCGAAGGTTTTTACACTGTGTTTTTTTAGTAAGTTAAAAAAAAAGATTTATACAGAAGCATAGAGAAATAGAAGGTAGGTTGTACTTTTTTGGTTATTATGGCCCTATTGTATAGTATAGGCCCAGAGCCTAGGTCTAGTTCTAAACCGCCGGAATTCATCATACTCGGTCCCTTACATTAAGAAAGCTAATTAATTAGGCTAGGGCCTAGGCTAGGCCTAGCTAGGCCTAGGCGAATTTCCAGCTAGGGCCAAGGCCCAGCCTAGCTGGCCTAGGTAGTTAGTAGAAGAAAAGCCCATAGCCTGCTATGTACAGTAGCCTCTAGTCTAGTTAAGGTAGGCTTAGGCCTAAAGTACTTAATTAGGCCGCCCTAAATAATGTACTATGCTAGCCTCTAGCTACTAGAGGGTCTGGCCATGGGGGCCTAACCTAGGCTTAAGGCTAGCCAGTTTAGTTAGGTGGGGTACTGTATGTAGGCCTAGCCTACTACTAGGCCCTAGGGTAGAGAGTTGTTATGTTATGGAATCACTGTACAGTAGGGGTAAGGTAGGCCTAGATGTTCAATTCTATTATTTCTATATGAAAGTAGAGGAAAGGCCTATATATTCATGTGACCGTAAACAAATCAGCAATGCATGCACAGTCATGCTAATATAGAGTTGCATTATCGGTCACATAAATTTATTGATTCTGGTTAGGCCTAAATGGACGTCGGCCCAAGCCGCGGTGCTCAAGCTCTTCACAGCAAGTTAAATTTATGAATGTACTGTACCATGCATGAATCCACGGTGTACGAAAATAAAATCTTCCCCAAACGTGTAAGTGTTTATAGTCCTGTTAAAATACTTGACTAAACAAATTTTTGTAAAAACAAATGAGTTTCTACTCTAAAAAGCCATTATTGAACAACACACGATTGAATCGACAGCAAATCTGAGCACATGGGAAATCCCTGAATTGGTTGAATGAATTTTTGTAAACAGTTTGCGACGAATGTTTGACATTCGTAAAGAGGTATTTAATTACAATTTCACCATTCTTATTAGATGTAATTAAATTTGCTACAGTAGTATACAGTATGAATTTCTTTCAATCATTAAATAGACTATTGAATCATTGTAGTAATGACCTAGAAATAAGCCTATTTGTAGATTCTTTCACTCTACTCATGTCATGACCGCAATGTATGAGTGAGGCTGTTTATTCTATGCTCTCTGCATCCATACTTTGTAGACACATGCTGCACAGCATGGCATTACTTTCAAATTACAGAAAGACGTCCATTTTACATACCCCTTGATACCAAGGGGTGTTCGTACAGTAAATTGAAAAATTCGTACACTAGATCAGTTTCCTAGGCCTAGCCATCCCCTGCCATTGAGCGCCGATTTTAATAAATATATTCAACAAACTTGATTATAATAAGAAAAATACACATCTCTTTGTAAAACGTGAGCAATCGGACTTTTTTTATGGTAATAATTGGACGATGATGACTTCATCAGGGGCAAAGACCATTTGTAAAATCGACTATTCGTAAAATCTACATTTGTAAAATGGACATTTTATTATAACTGCAAATTTTGTTTTTGTTAGTGACGACGCAGGAAAATATGTTTGAGTTTAAAAACATTAAAAATGTTTGTTTTGTCTTACAGTACTTTATTCGATGATTAAATATAAGCATATTCGTTGTTTACTTCTTGCTTATGGCATACTTCATGCTCTCAGACGTAGTCTTTCTCGATGTTCTTCTTGTCGATCGGGGCTCGTTGCTCGACCTGACTAAAGACTATAACAATGTTGTTTTTGTTAAAAGTGACTGGTAAATGTGTTTCAATGAAAACATTAAAATGTTATTTACTTCGTGACGATTGGCTGTCGTACAGCAATACCGTACAGGCTTAGGCATAGAAGAATATTGTTTTTATTTCATGGTAATTAAGAACTAGTTTTAGAAGGGAACCTCCATGTCAAATATGTCAAATTCACTGTTGTCATTAAGCCCCAGTTTCCTTATTGCAGACCAGTAATGGCGATGACCAATGCACATCGTCTTTGCCTGCAGTCATTCATGACAAGAGGCATGATGTCAGAGGATGAGGTGAAGCGACTACACCGCCATGCTTGCACGCACTGCCAGGTCTACCACGTAGAAAATGGACACAAACCATTCATCCAGATCATCAACACAAACATAAAGCCATTTTCAATGGAGATACGTAACTGTAAAAATGAAGATGATGGTTCTCTAGTCTATGTACTGGTATGAAAATGGCCTTATAGCTCTGTATTTATATTTGATTTTTTATTAAGATGTTTCACTTTTCTGATTTTGATTATTTTTTTTTACTACCATTTGGCTTATATATGCTTGAACTGTTACCTTCCCAGGATTACGCCTTTAGACCAACTCACGTCTGCTGAAAAGTTGCCTGTTTAGCAGCTTTATTTCCCTGAATATATGTCTTAGAGAGCCACCACTGTTCAGAATGGGAATGATAGTAACGGTTGCAATTATGATAAAATGGTAAAATTTGTAACAAAAACTAATGAAGTCATGTAAAAAGTTGTGGTGAGCTGTTTATAAATATAATCAACAGTAAATATTTAACTGATATTAAAAAAGCCATTACAGTATCACTGTTCAGCTTGTCTTGCACGTTTTTAGCTCCAATCAGGAGCTCCAGAAACACTCGTCTGATTGATTAATAGGTCTTCTTTAGATGTACAGTACTGCCTCTTTTATACTGCCCTCGTGATACTGATTAATTAATAGTTGATTAATAGATCTATTTTAGATCTACTGCCTCTATTATACTGCCCTCATGATGCTGATTATTTGATAGTTGATTAATAGATCTTTTTTAGATCTACTGCCTCTATGATACTGCCTTCGTGAGGAGCTCTAGAAACACTCGGCTGATTGATTAATAGGCTTCTTTAGATGTACTGCCTCTGTTATACTGCCCTCGTGATGCTGATTAATTAATAGTTGATTAATAGATCTATTTTAGATCTACTGCCTCTATTATACTGCCCTCGTGATGCTGATTAATTAATAGTTGATTAATAGATCTTTTTTAGCTCTACTGCCTCTATTATACTGCCCTCATGAGGAGCTCTAGAAACACTCAGTTGATTGATTAATAGTTGATTGATTAATAGATCTTTTTTAGCTCTACTGTCTCTATTATACTGCCCTCATCAGAGCTTTTTGAGATTATGAGAATTTGTTTAAGGTATTAACTTCCATATTTATTATCTAAATCTTGAATAGAAGTTCCGGTAAATATTTATTCATTTGTTCGCATTTCTCCAAAGGTTCGAACTGCTGAGTCGGACATTTGTAAATTAATATCAGACTATCATGCAAGCGAGCTTGTACTGTTCCAAAAGACGGTAAGAACTTTAACAATAGATTATAATGCATACAGTGCATTTAAGTTAAAATTTGAATGCCTACATTTTTGTAAGATGTACTGTATTGCATTTCATGACTTAGTACAACATACGTTCCTAATATTCCTAATAATTATGTTCCTAATAATATATGTGTTCCTAATATATATGTTTCTAATATTTAACTAGCATACAGTATTATTAATATCCAGTAATTTGTAAACAGTAATAATAATAGATAGGTAAATTTGTGAATTAAAATCAATGAGAATCTTTAAATTTGCTTGCTGAAATCTAAGTACAGTATACAAAGACTTATTATTATCATTATAATCATCATTATTATTATTATTATTGATTTTATTAATATTATTATTAAAACTCTTTTGAGATGACAGCTTGACTCACTCAGAAAGTCATATTTCCATTGTTAAATTTTTAAATCAAACTTCAAAGCGAAACAAATGAACATAATCAAAGTGGAAAAGAAATTGCTGTATACACATAGCCATATGAATAGATAATATAATGGTAATCAGCATGTTACTAGTTCAGAATAGATTCCCACCCAGCTAATATTTAAAATAATGGCAATTTGTATGTCAGTGGTTCGATCCCCACAGCAGGTCATATATTCTTTGCTTTACCTTTTTGAACTGCTGTTCTGTACTAACAAGCACTGTATCAAAATGAATAATAATATTCACTTGCATATTTGTTGTATTTCTGTTCTACCTCACAGATAGACTTGATCGTTGAGAATAATACCGGTACTGCATCGTCCACTGATTGCCTAAACATCACATTGCCAAATTCAAACAAAATGTCCAAGAAGGATGCACAAATCGTTCTCGACAAGTTTGTTGCAGACAAATGGTTGCAAGTTGTAAGAAGCAATACATTTTGATATTTTACTTAATCTTTACATAGATTGTGAAAAAGTGTACTTATATACAGTGTATCAGTGGCATGGTCATTGATCAGTCCACAATATCAAATTTTATTTGACAAAAATATGTGATATGCTTAAATATGGTTAGGATGACATCACATTATAACCATATATAGGCATCCTGACTATATGGGCATACAGGAGTTTTTTTGTCAAAGAAAAATTTATAATGTGGACGAAGCATTCTGTTTTTCCAATGGTCCTGAATGAACCATAAATTCACAATTTAATTCACTATTCTACAAGGTACTGTACAAATGTTCTAGTACTGTATGATTGTTTTTTTAAGTGCTGGTTTGAGAGAAGCACTCTACAAATTAGTGGATTGTAACCCAAGATTTGAACTGTCAGTTTAAATAATATGTTAATATGTTAGACTTATATAGCGCTTAATGCCAACAAGCCCTCTAAGTGCATCACATTATTACCTCCGTTCATTGGATCAAGCATATATGGAACACATTGTCAGTGCCCTGGAAAAATTCCATAATGTTGCAGTTGTAATCAGCGCATTTTGTGTTTGAACCTGTGCCAGGTACCTGGTACCTACCAGGTACTCGTGGGTAGAGAGAGACAACCGTAGGTAAAATGCCTAGGCTAATGACAAAAGTGAAATGCACAGCGAAGCATTGAACCTCCGACCTTTAAGTTGAGAAGCAGAACCACAACCGCTGTGCCAAACCGTTCCTAGATTATAAAGCCAAATTCATTCTGCTTTGTCATGTTTCCACTGATACTGATAGAGTGGCAAGTCAAAAAGACAAAAAGAACAGGAGTTTGAATATCAGGCCTCAACCAAATGGCCTCCGGTATGACATGATTTTGAAAGGCACCAAAGCCAAATGGAAAGACACCAAGGCCAAACTTTCAAGTATAAAAGGGCACCCAAGGCAAAATTTGATTTGGCCTCAGTACTAATTTCTCACGAGTGCCTTGATTCGTCGGTAGCCAGGCTAGGCCAAGCCAAGCTAGACCTAGCCAAGCCATAGTTGTCAATGGTAATATGACTTTGTTTAGAATATTCTATTAATTATCGATTCAATGTTGGAATATACTGCGGCGGCCGGCGATCGTACAAAACAGTCAAATTTCAAGAAGTTTGATATCTTTGTGCTGTTGCTCAGTCCATTGTCATCGGAGAGGAAGCCACAACTCTAAACTGGCCGCGAAAGCTGCGATGACGTAAGATCGCATAAAGTTAGCTGTGCAGCAAGCACATGTTTACAACTATACAAAGGTCGTATTCGACTGGTCGTTCTTCGTTAAACCACGCCCACCTGCGTGCAGCGGTAATATTCTACTCAACGAAGACGACCAGTCGAATAGAAAACTTGTAATACTCGACAAAACAAAATGGCTGTATAGTTACCGCGATACACGTTGCGTAATCAAGATTGCTTCAACTTGTGGTAGTACGGGTTTTTCGTAAACAAAAATATTTTCATCCAGTTTTTTTTTTATTCTGTTTGCCTACAATAATTTTTTGACTCCATGTGGGTAATTATAATGTTTATTTTATGAAATTTAATCTAAGTTATATTAACGCAAATTTTGTTAATAAAAAATCACCAATCGGACATGTCTTTCTTTTTTGGTCACGTGGGTAACTTAACGCTAATTAACGCACTCTGGTTTACGTCAATTTTTGTTGTCAACAAAGTCTATTTAACGAACCAGTCGAATGAAAATAATACTCAATGAAAATTTGTTCCAATGAAATAAACCAGTCGAATGAGCCCATGTTTATATTGCAATAACCGCTAGAGTAAGAAGCATGCGCACACAACGGTAACCGCAAAAACAGTTCATATCAACAACACACATGGAAATTCTCTCATGTTCTGTTCTGTCACTGCAACCTGGCTTAGGCGACCTACGTTTTTGGCTTTCGTGTTTTCTTTGATTTAAACGTTCTTACTTAGATTTATTTTACGTGTCAAACCATCTATATTAAGCATCGTGAGGGCACTGAGGCCAAGGCTTCAAAAGGGCAGGCAAGTAGTGGCCATCGTCGTGCTTCATTTTTCAGGGGCACCAAGGCCAACTGGGAGGGCACCGCCGGCAATGGCCGCAGTTAAATTCGAGGCCTGTAACTATAGAAGATTTACACTTACATTTGTACTTCTAATCATTTCACAAGACAAATATCATTTGTATCTGACACACTTTATTAATCAAATTTTTATACAAGACCCACGAATTATGGAAAGAGATATGAAAACATACAGTAGTTATGTCGTTAAAAAGGAAACCCATTTGGATTTATGTGATGCCTTGTGTCATTTTTTCTATAAATACATAATATTTTTAATTTGATATTGTTTTTGATTTAGGTACTGTATGACATTGTAAAATCAGTAATAAATGATAATACTGTATAAACCTAGTAACAAATGGCACTTTTTATTGATAGAACCAAGGTCAGATTTCATTGACCCCACGATCCATGCTTGAGCTGAAAAGATACCTGCGAGATATTTATCCTGATGATATCACCGATTGTAACATTTGTCGTGATATAGTCCTCAAGGTAAACAGACAAACTTTATTTGTTGCTAAATGTCACTTTTCATCTTGTTCATTGTTAGCGCCCCCATAGAAGGTTATGTATTCACCACTCTCTCTGTCCATTAGCAAGATTATGCAAAAACTAATAAATGGATCATTATACAATTTAGTAAAATGGTACATAATATTCGAAGAAGGAGACAATTCAATTTTTTTGGAAAAAAGACAGGGTCTAGGTCACAAATTTGATTTGTACTCTTGAGCCTAAAATAAAATAATAAAATCGCTCCTCGTATTCAGGCACGAGCCAGAAAGTAATGTGCCTAAATACGACTGTTGAATCAATTATTTTCTTGAGGGTATGCTGCAGCACTCAGAAAAGAATGTCTGAATATGACGAGTGATTCCATTATTTCCTCGAGGGTATGCTGCAGTTTTGCCTATCATGCACTACAGTCCACGTATTGCTGGTATTCAGGCACAGGGTGGAGGTATGCACTTAATGGAGCAAATTGAGATTTGATGACACTATATACAGGAATAATACATCAAACCAGTATCTATTTAATACCTCATCCTTTGAATTTTTTGCTGTATTTGTTAGAATTGTGCCTCTGTGAGGTACATGCCCACTAACCACTATGAAGGTTATGTTATTCCAAGATTATGCAAAAACTAATGAATGGATCATTATACAATTTAGGAGAATGGTACATAATATTCTTTTAATATTCTTTTTCATTTTTTAACACAAATAGTATTAGGGCTATTTCTTTTTCCAAAGCTGAAAATTATCATTACATCAATGAGTACTTTTTGTTAGGAATATTCTACAATTTTTGTGCTTCTCTAGTTATTAAATATAAGGCTGATATAGCTAAATCTTCACCAATGATATAACTCTAAAGGCCTGTTTACACTGACAATAACGATCTTCTATAAAAAGCTAAAAAGCAATTGTTCATAAAAAAAATAAAAGAAATATGAGAATTTTTTACACTAGCGCGATTCGATAACAATTTTTCGTGTATACGATAAAAAACATTTTCACAATAACCAAATCAAATGATATCATAATCATGTGAAAACGATAAAATCGTTATTATTTTAATCATAGTGTAAACAGACCTTTAACAAACATTTTGTTTGAATTAATAGCTTTCATATTGTTTAAAATTTATTTATGGTTCAAATTGGCATTTTTTTTTCTCCTTCAGGGTAATAGCTGCAATAATGGAAACTGCACAGTACGATTGCATTTCCATTGCTGCAGAGATTATTTTCATGGTCGGTCAAATGCTAATTGTCCAGGATGCGCAACCAAATGGGTGTCGGGTGTGGAGAATGGTGAGTATTTAATCAGGATGCTGCCCCAAATTGCTGGATGTGGCAGTACCTATACTTATATTTGTAGGATATATGCTCATTTTTAAATCAAATTACATAGATCCTAAATTTTAGGTCAATAATAATATATATTTTTTGTGTTACTGTAATTTTGGGAAATTTTAATGAAATTAGGCCATCACATCTACATTTTTTGTAACTATTTTTTGCAGGTATATTTTTTTTTTGTTCAAAGAATTGACAACTTAAGTTTCTATTAAAAAGGGCCTGCCGAGAATGTATGATGATAATATGTCATAATTTACATTTTTTAATTTCTTAATTTTTCAAGTATATAGTAATATATATGACCATAATAAATAAGACATTCTTTTTTAGGGGGCCTATTATTATATCAGTTATGATTTTACGTATAGCTAAATTTTTGCTTTGTGTTTTTTGTTATTACAATCGATTATTTTTAACGCATCTTTCAAGGGAAACCTAGTTAACCATAAAATGCAGATAAAAATATTTAGTATGGATTATTTATTGCAGTTATAAATTTACTTTCTATAATATAAATGGAACAGGAAAGCAACTATTTGCATCAGTTAGATGACAAAGTTGAATCAAGAATCTTCAACAAAAAAACTGAAAGGCGTTATTTATTCAGTCAATAAATCAATCAATCAGTCAATCAATCATTTTTCAATAATGACAGTAGAAACTATGATATTTCATTCATCTTTTATTTATAAACTATTGTATACCTACAATTATGCCAAGAAATGGCCTACAGTTGGACACAACTACACAAACTGATTTAGAAATATATTGTTATACAAAAAATAAACAAATCCCAGAGTTTCGATATCCAAACAATTTCAGAATAGAAAATAAAGTGTTATACGATCATACAGTAGGCTGGCCATACACATAGCAGTAAGTCAAAGCCAAACATGTAATGTCTTCTGAGTTAAAATTTAGAGGAGCAGTAATCTCGGTCCTAGACAAAATGTTAGTAATAAGCAGAGTAATAAATTATAAAAGCAGCTTAATGTTAGTAATAAGCAGAGTAATAAATTATAAAAGCAGCTTAGCTCAGTTGGCTAAACTCGTGGTAGCCACTGTTATACAAGTTATGATAGTGCACCGTCTTTCGGATGAGACGTTTAAGGCATTGGTGCGGTGTGCAATATGGTCCATTTACATGTTAACGAACGCAGTGCACTTTTCGGAAAAGAATATGGGATTGTCTCCCCGTTTACTGCCCAATTCACCACCAGAAGGACCCCACTGGAAACAAGTCTTAGGACTTGGTGGGTTATCTTTGGTGTGATTCACACACTCGGATCCTATCCAAACCATATGTGTTTGGCTCACCTGGGATCAACATTTTGTTGTTACAGCCAAAGATCCCCACAAAGCATTGCACAGTCTGGCCCCAGCGAAAGAGTGATGGGCAACTCCGGCCCTGTACAGGTTCGGCTACCTTAACCTTTTTTTTTTATAATATACCGTATTAATAATGTAATTACTATTAATTTTATTGAAGGCACTGCAAATGATTCTGCATTTGAGGGGACTTCATCATCAGCTAGATTATCAAGGAAGAGGAAGAAGTGATCACATCCAGAAGAGGGCGCTTTTCAGACGATTGAATTCTGCTTCTGTGACTACAGGCAGCAGTATGATGTGCCATCCATCATTTAAGAAAACTGATGTTTCAACAGCCAAAGATAGCAAACTTCAAAAATGAGATTACTGTACTATTTTTAATTTTATATCTGCAGATTTGCTGTCATTTTGTAAGGTTGACCAAATTCTTTATGGCTAATTTTCACTATCGATGCAACTCATGTACAAAGTATAAATAAATTTACACCTTGTTAAGTGAGTTTACTTGTGTGGCTTATTAATTTTAATTATGTTCAGGTAAGGAAAACTTTTACCTGATTTGTGCTTGTATGCATACAATGCCAAATTTGAAAAAACTAAAATCCATACAATGATTGTGGATACAGTATTTGAATTTTTTTCCTACACAATCAATTTCAATTCAGTATATTGCTACAAAAGCCATCGGTGGCTAATAATATCTGCCAATGGCAATACAAAAAAAAAAGACCTGTATGCCTAAAAGAACTATGCACCAATTTTTATTATACAGTAGTTAGAGTCAATGTTAGATTTTGCAATCATATTATCAATATGACTGTGGCCCGCTCGAGCGAAAAAATATCCGTGCGATTTACCAGTACACACTATCGAAAACCGCTTGAACAACTATTATAAGTTGTTGAGCCCAAATATCATTCACGCATGCCGCGTTGTGCATACGTGGGCCGTTATAGCAGCAGAAGAAAGTAAACAAAGAATGTGGGTTGACCATGGCATAAGTTAAAATTTACTTCTGAAGTAGTTTCGTTACACAGTATTTAACATGAGCTAAAACTTGCTCGGACGGTCGACCACCCGCTGAGTGCTCATCGCCATTAACCGGTGAAATAAACGAAATACGGTTGGAGTTTTTTGCTCGAAAGGGCTCTTTGACTTAGCATAGATATAATTGTAGATCATGCACAAAACTTTTTTGGATACTGGCATTTATATACACAATCTACAGTATTTTATGTAGTCAGTATAAAAAAAAATAGTACACTAAATATATAATACAATAAATATATTGTTTTGCCCCAATTAATAATATTTTACATTTTATTTGGATTGTCAATCAAACCTAACAACTGACATCAAACCTAACAACTGACCAATCAATTCAGGGTCAGAAATACGCGCTTATCTTACAACCAACGCACGAGTTTACTGACGTTTATTTTTTTATGGGATCCTAAAATATCTAAGGGGCGGGGCCTAGCGGAAAGGTCCATTAGTACTATAGGTAAACAAATGACAAGCAGTGTTATAAACTGCTGGTAGTAGTAACAACCCTGGCTTCACAAATAGCATGACCTTACTAATGCTATTTGCAGAAATCGAAATTTACTATAAACGTGTGAATTGTACAGTAGGGCTTTACTGTAGTGAAATTGAAAAGTAGCACATCACACTCAAACATTACCTGATTCTGAAGTCATAACTACATACCTACTTGTGAACTTTGTGGAAGTCTGGTATATAAGTATTTTTTAACGCTAACCAATTGCTGCTGTCTGCAATGACAACCGTTGTAAAGTATTTACAGTGGAAAGAAGTAAACATCCATTTAAAGTGAAAAGCACCTTCAACTTCAAATTTCGATCATTTTTTTGTTTGTTATTAACAACGATAACTGTTAATTTTTTCCTGTTTGACAAATGTTAAATTATTCTACCTATGTTAGAACTAAATTTAATCTAACAGACCAATTATTTTAGTGAATAAAAATAATTCACTGCAGTGTATGCCATTGACTGACTGTTCATTTCTTCTTGGGTCCGCAGCATCTTTTAATAAACCAAAAGTCTATGGCTTCAACAAATGCTACAAGACTGGCGCCAAAGAATAGTCCAAGAGCGCCACCAAGATCACCTGAAATTAATACAATTTCACAGTTACGGTTAAATTGTCGTTCATTAATATATGCACATGATATAATTATGTAAATTATGGATATTCAGTGGAACAGTATTGGTATGGTATCAGTGTGTATTTGTAGAGTACCGTTTACAGTACATGTATTTGGAGGAAAGAGTTGTTTTTTTTTAATTATGAATTTGTATGCACTCTTTAGTTGCACGCTGGCATAAATTGATAAAAAAAAGCCTAAAAGCACCCTTTTTTACAGCCTTTTCTACCATAACTTTGGAACTGCTCATCAGATCAATTTCCTCCTTTCTTTAAATAAAAGATCTATCTTTCATCTTCCTAATGAGATAGATGAGATAGATTTATGTTTTATCCCGTCGCTTTTCAATTAAAAGTAGGCAACTACATTGGATTTCCGGCGTAGAAAGCAATTTTTTTACCTTTCGCGGCTCATGTTACCAAATTCTAATCAGAATAACTCAAAGTATTTGACCGATCTTTATTCTTTTTTCCATACTAGTTGTAAAAATGGTTTACATGCACTGAACTCGCACAGGAAACCTTGGAATGATACTCGCAACAGAAAGCAAGAATTAAGCCTGGTTCTAACGAGAGCCCTAGTATCCGGATCGGGAGCTAACCGTTAGCACCTGCGTGAGAACGCCCGATCGGTTAGCGCTAACTGTTAGCAGTATCCGGATACGCTAACGGTTAGCAAGTGATATCGGTTAGCAAGTTGAGGGCGTTTCTATCATCAACCAATCACACGTAGGCATTTACAATTTCCAGTTTCTTATTGTCCAGTGATTCGATCATGATATTGTTGGAATCCGGATCGGGATTTTCTCGCATGGATGCACGGCAGCTAACGGTTAGCAGGATCCGGATCCTGCTAACCGTTAGCTGCCGTGTGAGAACATAGTCAATATCTGTTCTGTTAGGTGCTGTTTTTGGCTCTTACAAATTTATATGAGAAACATTACTGCTTAGCAGCACGCTATTATGAGAAGGGCAAAAAAATATAAAAAGAAAAAGAAAGAAAGAAATAGAAAGAAACGAGAGTGAGAGGGAGAAAACCATGGCTCGTGTGCACTTTAAATAACCCACTGTATTTTTCACACGAGTGGGTGGGGTGGTGTTACCCCGGTGAACTGGTTCATACAGCCCCTGTTGTGGACTGACAGATAGCTGGTACCGGTTCACCGGGTAGCTCACACGAAGAAACCCTTAGGGGAGAAGAAAGTTTCTGTGCGAGCTAGTCCACACCTCGACCTCTCTGAAACTTATAAAGTGCTGTATAAATCGAACCACATTACATTACAACAAAGAGTTAACATAAAAACGAGTCAAGGTGCACACTTAAAGTGATGTTTGAAAGCTTGGTTAGTAGAATAATCAATGACAGACTGGCAGGTTATTCCACAACCTGCTAAGCTTGTCAATGAAAGTGTGATGAACGTGAAAGGAGCACTGACTTAGAATGGAAGAGAAGCTTGTGTCAACTTTGCGAGGAAGAAGAAAAAGTTTGACTAGAGAGAGAGAAATGGAACAACCATTAAACATAATGGACTGAACAATTGACAACCCAGAAATATCACGTCTGCTTTGAAATCCTGAAACAATTGACAACTAAATGTCCAATACCCTGCAAAATCGTTTTTGAATCCTATAGATTCTTTTAATAGGAGGTAAAAAAGAACAATGAAAAAAAGGAAAGAAAACGAGTGATCAAACAGAAAAAATTGCCAATAGAGAAACTTTACACATGTTTATGACCACACAATTATTTTAATTTTATTATTTATTTATTACTATTACTGTATTTAGAAAGTATAATACATACTCCAAGTATTGAAATACACGCCATCGTGTTGGGATTCAATATTTCGACATTAATTATGTCATCATCAGGAATTGATGATGACATAATTAATGTCGAAATATTGAATCCCAACACGATGGCGTGTATTTCAATAATTGGAGTATGTATTATACTTTCTTATCTGAGATTAATCAGTGGACCTTTCGGTTATTACTGTATTACTGCATATTGTGTTACTAGGTGGCATATCTCAAGCCGGGCTGTGTTCCTATAGTAACTAGGCCTGGCGTGCCACCGTGTTTAACTTTTCTAAACCGGGCTTTATCGTTGCGGTGGGTCTTGACTTCGGGTAACAAAATGACCAATCAGCATTCAATTACGTACGCTGTGAGTGAGAGTGCGCTTCGCGAGCAATGTTTTGAAACAGTTTCCTGGTTACGGTTCATTATTATGAAAATTCTCGTGCCTGGCTAATGCCGTTAGTCTGAACGCCCGGCAAAGTTAAGCTGGGCTTAACTCAAGTCTGGCTTATCTCCAAGTGTGAACGTAGCCTTATACCAGTTAAATGAAGTACTGTAAACACTACCACACGTCAAAATGTCGATTGATACTTACAAATGATTGAGAAAAACTCGTAGGCTTTTTGATCTTTGATCTCTTCCACCTTCAATGTCTCAAAATAGATGTCAACTCTAGCCATGTTATCCCTATACAATGAGAGGTGTTCAGTTATTTTACATACGTATCGTTATATATATATAATATATATAAATATAATAAATAATAAAACAGTGCTCAAATAAGAACATGTAAAAATCGTATCAAGCATAGCTCATCAACGAAAAGTTCCTTTATTTCAGTTGTATGAAAAATGGTGTCTGCGGGATTCGAACATTCAACCTCTTGCTATCAATCATTGTAATGATGTATGAATGTGTATAAATTGTAATCGGTATAGAAGAGGAATCGCCCATCAACCGGGATTGGAACTTAGAATCTTGCTTTCCATGCACATCAACCGGAAGTGCCCGGCTTGACCCGACGAGGAAATTGAATTTGGGTTATTTTTTCGTAATAACCAAAAATCAAATATAATAGTAGTGTAGTTTGTTTCATGCTGTATTATTTAAATGTTAGGGTTTTTTTTTTTTTTTTTTTGACACAACGTATACGACAATGTCTTGTTTATAGCAGCTGGTTTGTCTTCCAATCCTGCCTGCTCCGCTTCAATGACTCACCCATATAGTTTTAATTCAAGCTATTGCCACGTACCCCACGTTTTTGAAATTTTATATATCCAAATTTTTTTATACCCCCCCCCCCCCCCCCCGGTTATATAAACACAAAAACACCTACACCATGTATTCTTGTGTTAAGGAGGCCAGATCGTTAGTAGTATAAATCGTTACACCAACTTCTAGACTGGCATTTCTGATCCTAGGATACACAGACTCCAGAATATTCTTCATCAGTACTTCATTGTAATTTTTTGCGTCTTCTCTGGTGAAATTATGTGAAGGGTACGTGAGCTGAACAGCTTCAGTCATAGTGTCAGTTATAACGTCGATCTGGTAAGAAAGTTCATCCGTGGCCCCATCGATTGTTAAGTTATGAAATTCAGAGCCAACTTCTGTAGCTGGGTATTCGAATATAAGATCATAAAAAATATTATCACTGATTTTATTGGTCAAGTAAAATATTGCATCGTAGTTGAAAATCATAAATTGCTCAGCTAGTTGTTCGATATATTCGGTTGGCAGATTGTTTGTATAGTTCGGTAGACCGACTTCGATGAATGCGTCTATCACGAACTGCTCTGTCTCTTCTATCATTTGCTCTATAATCTCGTTCATTTGAAATTCTATCCCTTGTCTGAAAAAGTGTAATAATTTGTTATTGATTCCATATTTATTTATATCATTATTGACTGAATAATTTTAAATAATTTGGATTGTAAAATAATAATAATAATAATAATAATAATAATAATAATAATAATAATAATAATAATAATTATGTATATATACATACGGTGTATACGGTGTGCCTCAAGGAGGCGTTTAAACCAGATTAGTCTGGAGGTATGACTGGAAATAAGTAGTAACATAGAATATATATGAAGATAGCAGTTATCGCTGTTAAATTATATATAATTCATATTTGATGTAGTTTGGTTTATGCTTACCTGACGTTGAATCCAAAAGCAAGCGCATAATACCTCCATTGTTTGGTTACAACAAATGTTTGGGGAACGCCACGTGATGGAAAACCACTGAAAGAGTTCGTTTTCAAAAAACTTTCAACACTACACGCTTCTTCACACTTACAATAAACTTGCCGATGATCAGCGAATTGATCTGTAATTGGTAGATGAAAATAATTAGGCCTTGTTTAAGCTCTGTCCAAAACCATCAAATTTTCTTCGACAAAAAGTGCTCGTAGTCATGATGTGCCTATTATAGTTATGTGGTGTCATCATAACCATATTTACGCATGTCACTTTTTTTTTCAAATAAAATTTGATAGTGTGAACGGGGCTTAAGAATATGATTATAAGTTGGTTCAATACATCCCGTTTCAACTGTGTTTAGCTTACATAGTCTTGGTGACACACCACACGTAGGTAAAGACGTTGTATAGCTAGCTCAAAAAGCTGGATTTTCATGCAATCGCTACAGGAAATCAGGGAGCTTCCCCGATTGCGTCGGTGGGACAGTGAAAACGAGCCTTAACACGTTTTAAACATACCTCAATTACGATTGCATTTTCAAACTACAGGTACTTAGATATATGTTTATCTCATTACTTAATTAGTTATTTTGACCCTAAGATATAAATGTATCTCCTGGTGAGAGAATAATAAAGTAATTCGACATTTCGATGAATTAAAACATGGATCCTAAGTTTTGTTCCATTTTTACAACAAATGCATATCATTATTGTAGACAATCGATTCATGAATGCCTTTTATATTGTCAGCAAAGACTGTATGAAGTTGAGTTGTGGACGACGACAAATCATTATGATACAATAAGAAAATTATACGAGAAGATTGATCCTTGGTGACCAAAAACTGATTGTTTATTAATCGATTCCATAATTTTCAAAATTTAGCACATTGGCCTTATTATTATACATTATTTTTAGCAGGTATCAATGACGACCACTTTTTGTTTTGGCAGTGTCTAATCTCGCATGGTACAGAAGTACCTTACTTTTACGCAAATGTTTGTTCAAGAACAAAATCTTTGCAAGAAGACTGAAGACCAAACGCTCGTGGTACACATTATCAAATGCATTCGAACGCCGTCGAAGTTGTTTTGAAGTTGTACACTTCTCAATACACCACATATCACACAAGCTTACCATTTTTTGGAAAGCCACCGATAGGGCCGCAGCGTCGGAACCCGTCGATGCACCAGTGGCGTAACGATGGGGTCGGGGGCCCTGTGTATTTCTAAAACTGGGGGCCCTTTTCGGGCCCCGGTCACCAATTCTCTCATATTTTTCAACATTTGCATGTTTCAGAATGCTGTCGGGATCTTGCTAATTAGAGATGTTTCACCGTTCTTGACTCTGCAGACTCAGCTTATAAACTCAAAGTTAAGGAAGCTTTGCATATTACCTGGAACAATCCTTCCCTTAATAAGCAAATTTACAACTTGAATATCACGCTCGCTGTTTGATTATTGTGTACTAATTTACATAACAATCCGCAGTGATTTCTACGGTTGTGGTTTGCTTCATTAGTCGCTTTTCTAATTTGCTTATCTACATACATGTGTATAAAGCCATATAAGCTTTGGCAAAATTTTTCATTCGCACTGATGATGAGAATCGTTTTCTCGAAACATGTTTGCTATACGATCGGGCTCAATGAGTCCGCGATCACGATTAAAGTCTATTGCTTGCTTTATAAAGTACCTTGTGGTGTTTTTACTTATACGAAATTTTGGTGATATTATTTATGACATAAAATATTTGTTTTGTATATCTCCATAAGCTGTTACTGCAATTCCGCTGAATCAAAAAGACAGTTATGAAAGGTGTGTATGCTAATGAATACGGCCTATTATTAATCGAAACTGTATAAAGTTTTAATTAGTCCTGCTTCCATGAAACACGAAGCGTGTCGTTAAAGAAATAAACACTAATAATAAAGTACATTTGTGTTAGGTCTACTTACCGCTATTGATCTATCAATAATGCTTAGAATTCCTGTAATTATCTGTATATTTGACTTTAGATTCAACCAATACACAATTCATTTAACCTTCATTCATAACGCTTATTGCACGTGACTTATATAGTTAGGGAGGAAACTCATTAAGCACAAGCAAAAATATTAGTTTATTCCCTTCGACTCTTTGATGACACTTGGAACCAAGACTCAGTAAAATTCCATTTACAGGCTCAGTATAAACTCAGGCGTCACAGAATGTTGTCTTTGCTTTACAATTTTATTTTTCCACTAATCATTGTCATTCTTAGAGGTAACTGTCATATTCAAGTATGTGGATGACATGCATTTAATTGGTTTGTGAATTCAAATCGATTTTAGCATGCTAAGAGTTAAGAGCTCAAGTGTGTAAGAGTGAATTCGATCGATTAATTATACATTATAATAGTAATAGGGCCTATGCGCATACATAACAGACCAAGAGAAAAATAAAATGACATGAACTTCATAAGGATGGGTTCTATATAGCTATAATGTTTAGAACTCTCCGCTTCACCCCACCAATACATTTGTAGCCCTAGTTCGAGTCTCAGTATCACCTTCTCCCTTGCCTCCAGCCAAGGCTTGGCCCTGTTGCCCAAGACTCCCCCACCACTTTCACCACGGATCGACGCTCTGGCATGCAGAGTATTGTTGTCCCTCCAACCATACAGCAGTGACCTAACTTCTCCATTCTGTTCTTTCCTATTTTTTGCATCGTGCAATTATTACATAGGCCTATGTCAAGACATTTAAGATACCGTTACACATTGCTCTCTACTAATTATCTAATTTATTTAGACCATGCATATATGTTACTGTATCCCTTATTTTCCCTTTATCTAAATAATCTTCAATAATCTGTTCTTTCATTCGTTGGCATCGTGCAATTATTAATTTTAGTCAAATACGATACGACAATAAAATAATCGTGAATCTTGAATCTTAACATATAATACCGTTACACTTTGCTGTCTACATGCTGTCTGCATGCTTTAGAAAATCATTCAACCCAAGTATAATGGTTAGCAACATAGGCGAGCATGTTTCTACCGAAATTTTCATAGTTAGGCAGTCGAGTTTAGATGAACAAAAGCAATCTCGACCTCACCTCACTATCTAAAAGACTCACACTAAATGGACATACAAGGAAAACAAAATAATACTTGCGATTTGATAATTTCAAGGCTACATTTTCTGAGTTTTCACAGTCACTTCAGACGTAACTCGAAGAAATTGTTGATTTTCTAAAGAGCTACAAGGCTTTGCAAATTGGCTTACCATATTTAGGAATATAGCATCCAGTTAAGTTTGAAGGAGAACAGAACGGTTGGGTTTCATCTGAAAAAGGAAGAAAAGTAAAACAAAGAATTCCGATTCAATTGAGAAAATTGAAGCGGCTTCTCTAAACTCACATTCTTCGAGGTTAGGAATTTGAACAAAAGTCTAAACTGAATTTCTTGGCTAAAATTAAATAATAAAGAAATTGACATAATAGTAATAGTAATAGCAATAACAATATCAATAATATACAATTATGATAATATTTGTACTATTAATGTAATATAATATTATACATATTAATAATAGTACTAATTATAGTGATAATATTATAATCAATCAATCAATCAATCAAGCTTACTTCCAGGCGTGTAGAAAGTGCGGCATCCACAGACTTCCATGAAGTAATCTGTTTCGCACTCAAGTAGACAGCGGGATTGTGTGTACTTTTTGTTCACCTGGTATTTCAGTTGCTTGTCACCATCAACAATGCAATTTCCGTGAGGAGGTGGTAGTGATGTAATCTAACTCAAAATATATAGTCATATGAAGATGATTTTTTTGAAGAAAAACAAATTCTTCACTTTTTCACTTAAACAGAATGATTACGGTACCATGCATAGTTCTGTTCACTGAGTCATGAAAGTCGTTGGAATCATTCACACTATAGTTTAACTTTGATATTGACAGTTTTAACTTTGATATTAAAATATTGGATATTATATTTACCGTTTGTTTCCGTAGTCCAATTGAAGCCCTTATTCCAGTTCCCACATCCACGCCCGATGCTTCTATATCAGGGTCATCATTATATCCGTCAATAGCAATACGAAATCCAACGTTTTCCCGGGGAGCTGTTATATACTGCAAATGTTCAACGTTTAGAATCATGCTAAGTCCATACCTTTGACCTATAATATCAATTTCAAAATTGACGTATTTTAAATTATTATTTACGATGAGATACGAAATGCTAGAAATGCTTTTACAGAATAATTAAAAAAAGTAATTTTTAATGCTGAGCTTTTAAGATGACTATTGTCTTAATTCGGTTCCTTTGTAATTCTTCTATTATTGTTTATGATTGAATTGTCGGGTTTTTTTGTTTTTTTTTTGTTTTTTTTTTTTAATTTAACCATAGTAATTTTTATATTTTTTGGTGTTGAATGATTGAGTCATCAATATTGTTTTATGTCTGCTTTTTTTTGGATTTTTTGTATATATTTAAAAATTTAAATCAAACTACTGTTCATTTATAGTTGCAATAAAAGATTTAATTTGAAAAAAATTGTAATTTCATCTGAAGTGCAGTCCAAAACATATCGATTGTGCACGGGTAACCCAGGGAACAGTTAAATGGAAACATCTCTAACCGAACATCAAAGGTTATAACCCGTGGAACCACACTCTTATCATAATCAACTGATAAACAATTTACAACCAATTACGACGACCCAATTGTTTTGCGCATACTCGCTAGACTGTAATTTAACTATTCCCTGGGTAAACTAATAACAATCGATTTGCATATAACTATATGCTTTGTGTGATTGTTGTTGCCATTATGTTATAGTACAATTATAATCAACCCTTTTTTGAATAACAAATCTACGCTATATGTACATTGAATATCATTTTCTTACCTGCGTTATTCAAGGATATGTTTGTTGTTGGTGTGAATGCGTAACACGCCCCATAGTTGGTGTAGGTAAGGGTGAAATTTTCTGGTCCGCAAATGACTCCATTGAAAACGCACCTGTCGAGTATATTAAAAACTGGTGAATATTTTTATCATATTTAGTCAAATAAAGTTTTTGTAGCCCAAACTATCATCGAAATAGAGTAAACAGTATATCTGAATTCATTATTAGTTTGTTTATCCAATGGAGTGTCAAATAAACATAGCAACTGACCAATCAGAACAGGGCTTGCAATACGCACGTGTCTCACAAACACATGTGTTCTCCCACAAACGTACGTGCCTACGTTTATCGCTATTGTTTTTGGGGACCTTATCAACAATATCGAAGGGGTGGGGCTGAGTGAAATAAAGTTTTTCGTAGAAGAAAGAAAAACGGAATTTATATCGTATGAGGGCGGATACCTTGGCGATTCTAAAATAGGCTCTATTTCGTTGCATTATGGGTAAAGCGGGTAATTTGAAAACGTGCATCAATGCACGTTCTTTCCATTAGGCGCCTCAATGCAAACTAAGTGGAGTTGAATAGCTGGTTAAGATGCTTCTATAATAACTACCGCACTAGGGGTTACAGAATGAAACAAACTTTCAGCTGTCACTCAGAGAACTTCTAGTTGGCATAATTAAAATTTTAAAAGTATTGTTAAGAATAATCTATTAAATAGTATTTTAAAGGATAAATAATTTATTTAGAAACATTTTTTTAGAATTTTATCATGTTGAAAAAAAGTATTTTTATTTTTTCGCCAAGTGTTCTGTGTGAGCACCACAATGGAAATAAGTTTTAGCTTTTTTGTGTTATCCTCGGTATGAGCTCGTAATAAAATCAATCAATCTTAAATAAATACAATATTATTAATTACAATATTATTAATAAAACAATACACGATTAAATCGTAAGAATATAAAATTTAGTAGATAATAGGTCTATTGTATGTAATACTGTAAGCATACAGTGTAATTTAAATTGGTTATAATTAAACATTGCAATTAAGTTACACAGATAATCATCGTGATGTGATGAATAGAAATTCCCAGAAAGAGAATCTTTATCTGAGTTGCAGAACCTCAAGATGGGAGAGGCAGTCTAAATCTATAAGAGCACTGATTAGGCATGTCGTTTCCCCTCTTCAGGCTAGACAGGTCAAAGCCTGACCAATACGATTACCAACAAAACCTTTTGTCAGCCAAACTGCCATTTATTTATCTTTTTTTAATGTAACGACTAGTGTTTCTTTTTTTGCAGCTGCACCCTATGACCGGGGCCTTTAGCGGTCCATTGATTTCAGTATGGTGAGCCGAGTTGTCATTTAATCGTAAATAGAGATATATTAGTTTTAAATAAATATCTATATTAATAAAGATGTCTCTATTAATAGAGATAACTTAGTTTTAAATATAGATATCTTAGTTTTAAATGGAGAGATCTTAGTTTTAAATAGAGATATCTTAGTTTCAAATAGAGATATCTCCATTAATACCAGACAGTCTGTTATTCTAAATTCACCGTATTTCAGAAACCAATGCATAGCATATTGTATAGTATTGATAACACACGTTTTATTCAATTGCATACTTTTCATATTTCGCAATAACTCGACAACTCGTGTAAATCTATAATCACTGTTAAGGTTATGCATTCATGCTATTAAAGCTGTCAATAGTGTTGCTCCAGACTACTTTGTAATGTATTTTCTATTATTCAAAGAAAAGGTACACGAACTAGAGCATTAAGTGCTGGTACGTCAATTCTCGACTAAACTTGCAAATTTTCTATGGCACGCGGCCATTGCCACCCAGCCTTGTGTCCAGTTTTTTTTTAAATCATTTTCAACTGAGATACATCTGCATTTAGGAGAGCTGACGCTTTGGTAAATATAGGCCTGATGTTTTCTTAAGTCATACCGGTAGGAATAATAGGCCTACCTATAAGATAATACTTTTAAGAAATTATCCGTACTACGGAAGGGGACCTCATGAAGATACAACGGTGACCAAGTCAGCCCAATGAATGATTGGTTTGCGCCTGAAGTATATGATCTGTGATTTTTTTTTTGTCTTTTGTGGGGGTAATCCACTTTTATTGTCTTTCTTTCATTTATTTTCAATATTTTTTTTCCTCCTTTTATATACATACTTTATACAATACCTTTAACAAACAGCATTAGGTCTTATTACCTTCTTTCTTTACTCACATATTACTATATCTTATCTTTCTTTATACATAATTATTTATAAAGGCTGCAAATTAAATACACATACATTTAAACATCCCCCAAAAATTATTACATATACATTTTAAGTGTTACAGTTCTTACTTTAAAAAACCTTCCATATATTTTGTAGCTCTTTCCACTTTTCTTTAGCCTTTTGTTCATTATTATACATGTCGCATTTAATTCTAAGCAATGCATTGTATTTAAAAGAACTATATAATGAGGTACGCCTTGATTTATTTAACTCTGACAAAATCTTTTCTTTGTAAATAGTAAAAGCGGTCGAAGTGTAAATAAAGTCAATTAATACATTCTGTGTTCCAATTACAAGATGTTTGAACGACAGGCTATGTATGTACCCAACAGCTCTTAATATATTTCGTACTCTTCTCCAAAAAGGTTTAATACTTATACAACTAAAGAGCATGTGTTTTCTCATCCTCAATCTGAAAGTCTTTTACTTTCCATATAGATAGGTTTTTATTAGTTGGTAATATTCTATGCAAAAGCTTATAGTTAAACTGCGCTAATTTTTTATCTTTCATTTTACAAACTTTATGTAACCAGCATGATTTCCAATCAATATAATTATCAAAGAAATAAGCTTCCCATTTTTTTTGTCCAATGGGTGGAATGAAAGCCTCCTTTACAAAACATGAATATACAGTTTTTGTTTTAATGCCGTCATATTTTCGGTTAATGTTGACAATATAATAATTGCAATTCTTTGTGACCTTTATGATATGTTTCCATTGATCTGGTATAGCTTTTAATATACATAAATATTCACTTAGCCAATTTGATTTACACCGTAATTTCACCAATAATTCCTCTGAAGATATAAATTTCTGATCACATACAATGTCTTTAATGAAAATTATACCGTTATTAATCCAGTGTTTGTAGAATAACGATTTATTTCCCAGCTGAATTAAGTAATTACCAAACAGTTGTTCGTTGATAATTTCCTCAAACGTATTAATTTCTTTTTTATTGATCCTATTATATTTTATACATTCCTGTATGATATGATTGTAAAAGATAGGAATATCATATGTATTATATATATTTATGTGTCTTACGCATGTCATGTTAAATAGAATTCCTTCTGTGCAAATTTTTCGAATAAAAAATATTGGTACAAATTTCCATTTTGCGTCGTCATCATTAAGCAGTCGTTTTGCCCATAAAACTTTTAAAGAATTTATTTGTAAAGTAAAATCTGGCATTTTAATACCACCTTCATCTGAATCACCGATTAATGTTTTTATTTTTATTTTTTCTCGCTTATTATTCCAAATGAAAGCATGGATTAGTCTATTAACTTTATCAATCACGTACATCGGTACATTTATAATGTTAGCAGCATAAATTAATTTCGACAACGCAATTGATTTGAGGACAATAGTTTTGCCATAAAAAGATAGGTTTCTCGAACTCCACAATTTTAAAGTACGTTGAAGCTCAGTCAATTTTCCGTCCCAATTCTTCTTTGTACATGATTCTTTGTCATAACCTACGTAAATTCCTAACACTTTTATTGGTTGTTTTACCCAACATATTCCAAGAGGTTCGTCTACCCTATCCTTCCATTTTCCTATCCACAGTGCCTTTGTTTTTTGTTTGTTTAATGCCATACCAGATACTTTACAAAACGATTCAATAACATTCACCGCTGTGTGTAGAGTTTTTCATCTCCGACATACAGTACGGTATCGTCTGCCAACTGGCTACTTCTAGCTTCTATATGTCTGTGCTGTTCATTTATATTTGGTAATTTAATTCCCTTGTAAGAACTATTATTTCTTACATTACATGCCATAACCTCAACAACAATAATAAAAAGCAATGCTGATAACGGGCAACCTTGCCTTATACCTTTATCCTTGCTGAAATTTTCAGAAATCCACCCATTATTCGTTGTTACACATTCAACCTTATTATATAACATTTTAACCCATTTGCAAAAGGTGTTACCAAAATTTAATTTTTTCAAAACTTCGAACATAAAATCTCTATTAACTGAATCGAAAGCCTTTCTAAAATCTAGGACTTTCCTTTTCTAAGATATGTGACTTTCCTTTTTTTTTAATCATAGTTTGTAGTGGTACTTCAATTTAGTCATTATTCTGGCCCCCAAACCTGACTGAGAAATGCTTTGATATTTTCCGATGGGAACAGTTATAGAAGTTTTAAACATACGATGTATAATTATAATAATACAATAGTAATAAGATGTCTGTCTCTTATACACATCTAGATGTGTATAAGAGACAGATATTAATATTCATTGCGTACACTTCACGTATAACGACGCCCTCTAGCTATTTCCCCAACTTCTGATCTGATTTTAAATGTTTGAGTTGAAAATTGTTCGTTCCTTGTTTATCATTGCCCTGCATGCTGTTTGTTGAGGTTTTTCAATCAGCCTTTTACTACACTTAGTGTCTTAGGGAGGCATTCATTTGTTGGTGATTCGTTTGCTATTCTTTGTTCGCAAATGATAACTTGGTAATTGCAATGTATGTATATATAATATATATATATATATATATATATATAGGCCTATGCAAGGGCTGTTATTCGACTTCTTTTCTACTTTCGATACTATTCTTCCACACTTACTCCACTGTAAACTATCCATTCTTGGTGTCAGTCCCAATGCTGGATTGGTGAATTCTTGACCAATAGGCAAGAACTCAACACACTCGTAAAGACGACATTATCCTAAAATTAATTTTGTTGAAGTAGAAATGGTTAATGGGTTTAAATACGTTGTACCATAATGAAGACCTTATTTGGATAGCTAATACCTTATACTTAACTAAAAAAGCAAATCAACGTCTGTTCTACCTTTTAATGTATAATCGTATTTTCTGGTTCTGCAGTTTGACAGCAGAACATAACAAAAGAAATATCAGGAAATCCATAAATCGTGTTAAATGCTAATTTGAAAACCATTGAAAAAATGAATATAAATAGAGCATTGAAAATGCTGAATAAAATTGTAAAAGGCGCATACTATCCATCACACTGTAAAGCAATTACTAATGGATCATAATTCATATTCTCTGTTCATAAATATCATACAATTTATAATATTTTATTCTTGTTTTTTATCTGCTGGTATGTACATTTGTTTGTCATTAATTTAAAGTTTTGACTTAATGCCAACTCATTGCAAATACCTTCTAAATGCAATTACTCAAATAAGATAGTATATTACACACTCCAAGTATCGAAATGCACGCCATCGTGTCGGGATTCAATATTTCGACATTAATTATGTCATCATCAGGAATGTGGACCTCTAGATTTAATTGCATTAATTTTCTTATCAACAGTAAAATACAACAATTATTTTTCTTATCGCAACGTCTACAACCTCCCTCTGCACCCACCCCAGCTTTTAATGCATATTACCAAAGAACTTAAATAGCAGAAGAATGAGCTGTTCCGCGTATTTGCATTAAAATTGATGGAACATCCGCCCTCCCGCGAATGAGGTAAAATTTGAATATTTTACTAAGTGGAGAAACTACAGGAAACAAACGAAACAGAGCGGCGCCTTTATTACTACTATATTGCGCCGCCGAGCGGATGGGGTAAAATTGCTCTCCGTGTACCCACAATGCCTTTCGAACGGATGTTCAACTTTATTGGGAAGCTGCTCTATCGTCTGCTATTTATTATCTTTGATATTACACACACTTGATATGCTCAGTGTAATCATTCAATAATTTATATATATTTATTTTTCATATTTTAAAGTTTTAATATTTTAATATTTTGTGTTTAACCATATTGTAATAATGTCATTTTTATGTGTGTTTAGCAAATTGTTTACTTGTTTGATCGATGACAATAAATTATTCTTGATTTTTAATTTCAGTGTGGTTTTACATTTAATTGTTTATTCGTAGCCATTCCGACCCTCTTATTATTATTATTATTATTATTATTATTATTATTATTATTATTATTATTATTATTAATATTATTATTATTATTATTATTAATATTGTTATTATTGTTATTGTTCTTGATTTAGGGTCGGAATGGCTAAGAATAAACAATGTAAAGCAATGTCAATAATGACCCTGAAAAGGCTTAACCAACTCTGTAATAACATGAACGTATTGTTTAATTTCAGTAAATTGTACAATATTCACTTTCACTTGACGGGGAATGGTTAGCATCGATTACTTTAGTAAAACAGTACTGCTAATTTATATGCGTATATTATTAAGGTGGATGTACATCAAGATTTTCAAATAACAGTATTGGTTTTGTTAATTATATATTTGTATACATTTTTATATTAAAAAAATGGCAAAAAATGAAATGGTATCCAAGCATGGCAATGCTTTAAACCAGACGGTGTGATAAAAAAAATAATTGTTGTATTGTACTGTTGATTTGAAAATAAATGCAATTAAATCTAGAGGTTCATTTAAAAAAAATGTTCTCACTTCAGCCCCAACCATGGTGGGTATGAGGTGAAGTGGACTCTCCCGCAGCCCCAGCCGCCAAATCATCCATCCGCCCCGGAAAGTTATTCAAACTTGATTGTTATCGGAATAAGACTAAGAATAAATCCTTTCCGAGCCACTGGGGCTCAGGGCTGGAGCTTATCTCCAGTTTCTGTAGTGTGAAGCGGATGAGAGTTGTACTCTATTCCGTCGGAGGTTAGTCCCAGCAGTTTGCTGGTACCCATTGATACAGCTAGGTGGACTGAAGCAATGTAGCTAAAGTGCTATAGGAGTAATAATTGCTTTAATTCGTTATTTTATTTTTGTTCATATCAACTCATATCATGTCATTTATTACAACCATTTTGAATTGACAAATACGAACATTAATATAGAAAAGTACATAAACAGTGTACCTCGATTGCTCAAAAAAGGGTAATGCAACTCTGTCTGTTTTTTGTGGGTTTTTACCGTACATGAGACAAGGAGTCTTTACGTTTTGTTTCTTCTTCTTAATGTTTCGCAAACTAAATAATGCCATGAACTGAATTGCAAATTATTTGGTCTTTTGTCTTTGTTTTCCGTGTGCTTTTATGTGTCATTATGCACGGGATTTTTTTGTTTTGTTTTGCTTTTAGTTGCTTTTGGAAATAAAAAAAAAATATGTCTGCGATCTCTGAAGTACCAACGGCATAAACAAAATTTTGTAACAGAAATATTAAAATTGTTAAAATTAAAATTTGCAAAAACACTTATAGAACAATTATGGCCGACGTGGACGTACATGGCACAGCTCTATATTTTGTTTTAAAAGTCGAATTTCGTTTTACAAAGTGTTGACCCAATTCAGCAAGAAATCGAATGATATTGTGTTTTGGAACATTAGCAGATAGAATTTACAGACCCAGTATAATTCAATGGTTATTATCAAACTCTAAGTGTTTAGATCACTCAACGTTCCACTACAATTTCCATCTATATTCTTAATTGATATATTTTTGTCTGGTTTTACATAATCAATATATTAATTTTATTATAAGTGAACATACGCATTTATCGGCGACACTAAGTAGTGCTTTTCACTTACCTACAGAATCATTATTATTCGTCTACCTTCCAATGTAATAACGTAAATTGGAATAATGGATTCTCGCTAGTGTTGCTTTGTAGTGACAACTCCTCGTTCAATAGTTTTTTTTTTCTATTTCGTAGGAGTTTAACCCACTTTTATTTCTTTCTCTTTTTTGTTACTTTTCTTCTTTTTTTTTTTGCTTCTAATACATATTTAAAAGAAAATGAATATACAAAATAAAAACAATTGCACTTAGGAGGGGTCATTCCACAATGGCTGACTATCTTTCTTGTTTTTTAACACCCTTCCACTTGTAATAATTTCTAAATATTTTTTACCAAAATGTAATTAACATTATTAACATCGTAAATTAAAGAATTTCTTCAAGTCGTTTTCGTAAAAAAAAAACAAAAAAAAAACATATTTATATACATATACACTGCACATATACATAATATTATTTTCTTTTTAAATCAACCCTTTACCTTTCATGGGAATTTCATTCTCCTTTATTTTTTTCTCTTTTTTTATTTTTTATTTTTGTATGGAATACACTCACATACATATACATTTCACACTCATCATATATATCTATATCCGTATACATACACGCACATACATACATATGCACACATACACATACGCACATATATACACGCATACATATATATATATATATATATATATATATATATATATATACACCTATACATATACACAGGCCCATACATATATACATACATATACATTCTTTAACACGACGCAATAATTACACTTTCTTGTTTTCTTAATTGTTTTATTTTTATATACTTTTTTTCTTATATATAAAAAATAGAAATAGACGTATTATATTAATAATTATACGGTATTATATTTTACCGTTCTCGATAAAAGAGTATGATGATAATTGTGTAATAATATTAATAGTTGTGTTTATCCTTTTTTTAAAAATGTATATTGGCCTAGGCCTATATTTTTAAATTATTTTTTAATTTTTTTAAATTTATTTTTAAATGGTTTTAAATAGTGCATAGTGTGTATATGCACCAACTACTACAATTTGAGTACAATATTATCTCATACAAGGTTTCATCTATTAATATTGTTTTTCTTATGGAGTAAGCTCCACTAGGCAAATCATTGTTGCCCATTCGATACATTATTCGTATTTCCAGTATATATTTTTTTTAATTCATTCATTTTGTATATACATTTACATTCATCAACACAATACAAGTATTCTAAGTATACCTCGTTCAATAGTTAGTAATTAGAAACTCTAAATACCTTCAATGGTAGGACGCCTAAATAGGATAATGCTACGATATATATTTCTTCAAATTTTTACAGGCGTGGGCGGTAAATCGTAACAAACTTTTTGTCTTTAATCACATTTTTAAATTTTGTCCTAAAAGCAAATATAGGTCTATTGTTTTAAAAGTTATTAAGCTCTGTCCACAATATCACATTTTCTATGATAAAAAAAAAACAAACTGCTGTATGTCCACATATAGTCATTATGTGCCATGGGTGGCGCCAGCGGGGACTGGGGGAAGGGCCCCCGTCGGGGAGAGCTGCACCCTCGGGGAGAAAAAGCACAATTCGTCGGGGAGAAAAAAAAATTATGTTTATTTTCTACATATTAGTAGACTCTAAAATCGATTAAATAAGCCTTAGAAACACCTAAATTGTCAAAATTGGACCCTGGACCACACTCGTAACCTTTTAATCGAAGCCTGACCACGCCCACTTTAGTTTCGTCGGGGAAATCTGATCCCTCGTCATGGGCATCGGTCCCCCCGTCGGGGACCTCGGCCCCCCCCCCCGTCGGGCAAGTCCTGGCGCCACCCCTGTTATGTGCCTATGGTCATGATATGATGTCATCATGACCATATTTAGACATGTCACAATTTGTCAAACATAAAATGTGATAGTCTGGTCTGGTCTATTTATATTATCGTCAAATGTATCAAATTTTCCACTTACACTTCAAGCATGTCTTTTATTCGGTGACTATTGTACCAAATGAATTCCTTCAGATCTTTTTTACCTGGATACGTTTCGTCTTCCAGCTTACCGTACCCGTTACCATTTGAAGTTATACCGATATCGGGCGTCAGGCTTCGAAGGTATTGCAGACCGTGGTAATAGAATAGAACACTTCCACCCAGCAATGGCGTCACCTGATCAAACCTGTCATTTGAATTGAAATTAATATTTTAATCTTATTTAATATAGCAAAGCACATAATCTGGGTGTCAAAACGCATATAAATTTGAGTTCTTACACCCTTTCCTCTGTATAATACCTGTACAAGAAATAGAATACACTTTGTACGGTATCAAAATGATCCCAGGTTGAGGAAATTAGGATGATTATTAGCACTATTATTAATTAAAATTATGAGAGAGCAGCTTAGCTCAGTCGGCTAATCTGGTGGTAGCCGCTGTGTGTGCGCTGAACCGTGGAGATCTCTAGGTTCCCGGTTCAATTCCCATCGCTGCCTCTCCTTGTGTTTCAGCTAGAGGGCTGAAATAATATACGTTACTAGCGCACCGTCTTTCGGATGAGACGTTTAAGCCGTTGGTCCCGTGTGCATTATGGCCCATGTGCACGTTAAAGAACGCAGTGCCCAATCACCACCAGAAGGACCCCACTGGAAATAAGTCTTCTTCTAGACTTTCGTGGGCTATCCTTGGTGTTTACACCGAATAAATAAATCCAATCCAATCCAATCCAAAAACATTATCATCATAATCACAGTTATCATCATCATCATTAACTTCACCAACAGCATCCTCATCATCATAATCATCAGTATGCTCATCATCCGATCATCCTTATCTCAGTATTATCTTATAGATTATACTACTCGTCTTATAATACCCTTTGATAATAATATTAAAAAACACTAGGCTTACTTGAACATATTGCTGTTGCACACTGTAACTTTGGGAAATGTTATTGCTGACTTGGTGACGTAATTCAAATTGGTGTTTGTGGGATAGTCGAAGTACCTTGACACCGAACGATTTATCTGGTAGGTAAGACCAATAAGCGCCAAGACAAGAATGATAATCCAAGACATTCTACAAATAATAACCAAATAAACTTATCAGAACAGTGAATAAAAGACCTAATAATAATATTATTTGGTGAATTAGTTTATTTTATATTGAATGATAATTCTGTATGATTTCTTGACTAAGTTTTGTACATTGTAGGATTAATGATGTTATTATCATGGAGAAAATAAAATATTTTCTCCATGTTATTATTATGTCGTGTTATGTCGTGTATTGTATTGCATTGGTGGCGCCAGGGGGAGGGCAGGGCATCTCCGTCGGGGAGAGTTGCTCCCCCCGCCCCGTTCGAAAAGAAAACCACAATTCGTCGGGGGGAAAATGTATGTATTTTGTACGGTACATTGTACATGTAGTATTCTCTAAAATCGATTAAATAAGCCTTTGAAACCCCTAAATTGTCAACATTTTCGGGGGATTCGCCCCTGGACCACTTTCGAAACATTTTAAGCGACGCACGACCACACCCACTTTGTTCTCGTCGGAGATATCTTCCCCCTCGTCGGGGGAATCGCCCCCCCCCCCGTCGAGGACCTCGTACCCCCGTCGTGGAAATCATGGCGCACTCCTGTTGTATTGTTTAATATGATTGAGTGTATGCACTCTGGGGTCAGCTTGCCTGCGTAAAGAGCTTTTAGTCCACCGGAAATACGGATTTGACTGGACAAAATTGCAACAAGACGTTTTATGATCTAAATATAAACTTAATTATATGTAAAACAACATACTAAAAGTTTACCAAAATAGGACGTACATAAAGGTGTTTTTTATAACCAAAAGTTCAGCACTATTTGAAAGTAGACTTTTACACGGTACGTACTGCGGTTTTCAAACATTTCTTGATTATGATTGGTCAACATTTAGGTCAACGTAGGTCATATCTGTTTGTTGCTGGAAGAGTGAGACCCGCGTGCAAGCTTCGCGATCGGGAGGTTTGGTGTGCGAATCACAGATATATTTTTTCCGGTTTACAGGAATTACAGAGCTATAAATATTGGAAATTAATTGGAATCATACCAGAGTTAGTTCATGTATGACCCTGAAAAAATTTTGTTGTAAAGTCTAGGCCTGAGGCCTTGTAATAAAATCTCATTTTTCAGGCCCTAGCCTAGGCATTGCTTTCTTGCTCCCCGGTTCTCGGCGGCCAACGGACGCATGAACGTATATAGAAAATCTTAGTAACGTAGGCCTGGGGCTATTTTCAATGTAATCTCATCAGTATCTAAGTGTAGAATGGAACCAGAAATGCATCGACCTACTGATGTAGACC